ACATAGTGCCACATCCAGTCTCATCTCAAAAACCTCCAGGGACAGTGAATCCACCACCTCCCTGGCAGCCCATTCCAATGTCTGATTATACTCTCCAAAAAAAAATTGCTTCCTAATAACCAACCTGCTCCAGCATCTCCATATCCTTCTGAACTGAGGGGTTCAGAAATGGACACAGCACTCCAGGTGTGGCCTCACCAGCGCTGAGGAATCACAGCGCAGGGGAAGAATCACTTCCCTGCTCCTGCTGGTCACACTGTTCCTGATCCAGGCCAGGATGCCTTTGGCCACCTGGGCACGCTGCTGGCTCATGTTCAGCTTCCTGTCAATCCAAAGTCCCAGGTCCCTTTCCACCTGGCTGCTCTCCAGCCACTCTGTACCCAGCCTGTAGCACTGCAGGGGTTGTTGTGGCCAAAGTGCAGGACCCAGCACTTGGCCTTGTTGAACCTCATCCCGTTGGAATCAGCCCAACTCTCCAGTCTGTCCAGGTCCCTCTGCAGAGCCCTCCTGCCTTCCAGCACTCTCCCCCAGCTTGGTGTCATCTGCAAATTTACTAATGGTGGACTCAATCCCCTCATCCAGATCATCAATAAAGATGTTAAACAGGACTGGGCCCAGCACTGATCCCTGGGGACACCACTGGTGACCGGCCGCCAGCTGGATGCAGCCCCGTTCACCAGCACTCTCTGGGCCCGGCCCTCCAGCCAGTTCTTAACCCATCACGGAGTGCCCTTGTCCAAGCAGTGGGCTGCCAGCTTTCTCAGGAGTGTGCTGTGGGAAACGATTTTAAAGGCTTTACTGAAGTCCAGATAGACCACATCCACAGCCTTCCCCTAATCCACCAGGCGGGTCACCTGATCATAAAAGGAGATCCCTTCCTAAACCCATGCTGGCTGCTATGACGCAGCAGAGCTCATGCTGAGTTCCACACTGTTGGGCTGGTTTGGCATTCTCACACTGATTATGCTTTCCCTCATAATCTGCAAATCCTTTTCAACTGCTCCTTTTCAGGGGGCACCACCATACCCATAGTTTCTGGACACATAACTAGCTTTCAGCTGCATTTAAATGCATCCAGGTTACCCAGTTCTAATATTGCAAGACTTCCCTCTTTTTTCATTACACCCTGCTCTTCACCTCAAGTACAGGTATTACCAATAGGGATTCGATACGTTCTAGAACAAAGCTCATGCATTGTCGCCCCCTAAGTACAAGCATCACCCTCCAAGTGCAAAAAAAAATGCTTCAAAAGTAGAGGAACAGAATTCAATGAAGAAAATGTCCCAGTCACCAGGATTTCCTCTAACTGTTGTAGGTCTCCTTTATTCATCTTTCTACAGCATATTTAATTACTAACTAGGGTGGAAAGTGAGACCTAGTCTTACTCTAAGCCTAGAAAAACGTCATTCCATATTCATTTTTCACTCTGTCATCACAAAGAAAATCCATAAATTTAATAAGAAGTTTGAGGTCAAGTACTTAGACACTTCAGACAGCGTTCCTTCTACAGCTGAGACAGGTGTTGAACAAACATGCTTCAAGCCTGATCAAAACCTTATATACCTCAGTCCTGAAGACAAGCCTGACGAGAAAGTCCTCACAGTTCCCTCAGGATTCCACTAGTCTTTTGTCTTTTTTCTTCTTTTTTTTTTTTTTTCTTGTTATTAAGAGGAAAATACTAGGGAGCTGACTCCACTTGTAAGGCGGAATCTTAAGGTATAGCTTTCTGAAGCTTGGAAATTCAAAGCTAAGGTCTTAAAACTAGCCTAGCTTACATTCTAGTTCTGCACGTTGAAGTTAGGCATGAAACTTTCTTTGACCCAAAAAGTCAGGTCTGTTTTTGTCCCTGAGAGTTTTATGTCTTGCTTTGCCTAAGTTACAAACACTGTGGGAACAGGAACATAGCTTTACTTGAATATAAACATTAGAGCTGTTGTGTCCCCCCCTCCAAAGTATGTCCAGAGACTCCCTAAGCAAAGCTGCTTTCAAGCCTTATACAATAACTGGATACAGATATAAACAGGCTGAGAAAAGATCTGAAATAGAACAAAAATAACCTTATGCTAATCGAGAGCTCTAAAAGTATGGCAAATGTATTAATACTTCCCTATGCAAAGTAATCATCTCACACCAGTGAGATAATCTTCTAGTGTTAAACAGAACTGTACTTGCTCCATCAGGAAGAATTAACAGATGGAGCAACTCTTTGAGCTTTACATAACAGTAATTAAACAAATCCTCACAACAGCCACATGATTTCATGCACAAGCCAGGGCAGTCCACAGAAAAAAGCTTTGCTGTCATGTTGGAAAATTCCAGGATGTGTAGCTCAAATAGCTCTGCAAGGGCCATCAGCCTGATGGCTTGGATCAGCCTGCCTCATCCTCCAGGATATCCTCTTCACTGTGCACTCAGAGGGAGAGAAGAAACTCAGAAATAAAACAGCTGCAACAGACACCTTCCTCATCTGCAGTAAGTTCTTGAACTGCTTCATCTGTAAGATGAGACAGTCATCCATGTACATTGCTATATTGGAAGTCAGTCTGAATAAAAAACATGGGGAAGTTCATAGCATTTGGTATATAGGAGAATTCTGTGTGCCCTGGTACAAGCAGGTAACCTCTTACATGTCACCTGTTTCACTACGACAAGCACCAGCAGCTCTCTTGTGCTGGGAATGAGGCTGGAGGTGGGCGTGGGAAATGCAAGAACTACCCATTACTTCAGGCAGGAAAATAAATCTCCCCACCAGGTAACACCCACACGTCTGTACATATACATGTGTGGATCTCCGTTCACCTAAAAGGGCAAGAAACAGCAGAATAAGCAAGGCACTTGAACTGCACCTTAACTGGAAAAGGAAGGAGTCCGTCAATACAGATGGAAAACACAGGAAGGGACAGTATTTTGTACCTTCACATGGGCTCTCCCTCCTGCCCAAAAGTAAGCAGCATCATTAGTGCCAGTGGACATCCCTTACCTCTCTAAGGTGCTGGACATAGGGTGATGGAAATGGGTATGCCAGGAGTTCACCTCTGGGAAACCTTCAGAGCCATGCTGGACCTGGAGTTGCCATGGGGGCACCTGGGAGTCCTACAGAGCTCCATCCCCACCCCTCCTACTACTCCACCTCTCTATAAAATACCTCTGATGTCTTGGGCCAGAAACATATAGATGACACACAGGCCTTTGCCTCCAGTATGTGAAATATAGAAGTCTTCCATGGTATCTAATGCAAAGATAAAATCAGCACCTGAAAGCAAATTCATCTCAATAAGACTGAACCTAGAACAGATCCAGGTGGTGGAAGGAATCCATCCATGTCTCCTAATTGTGCAATATCCCATCTGCTGTTGCTGAAAATGTCTGCCCTCCCACCCCCAGCTAATGAAGTGTTTTACAGCTTTTGGGTTCTTCTGCTCTTCCAAACAGGATTTGTAAATAGAAAAAAAAAAAAATTAGGCAGAATGGAGCATGCACTGATATAGTTGTTCATTCCCCTCTCGGCAAAACGTGTGACTGGGGGAGGTAAAAACAACAAAGCACACACAGCAGTGTTCTGCTGCCACCACCTGGTCATGGATAGACCTAGACAGAGTTTTTAAATAAAATGTGCTTCTTCAGAATGCATCAATTCACTAAGCCTATAATTTTTATATCCTTTTATTTTCCTTTACTTGTCTTCAGCTGGGTGTACTTGCACCAAATCCATCAGAAGCCCAGAGCCCCAGCCTGCCTGGTAGGTCTGCCCTGCAACCAGGTGGGATTCAGAGATGTCAAAGTTCATCACAGACTTGGGCCTCAGCTCTGTGATAAAACGTATTTTCTAATAGACTTCTGAAAATCAGCTTTTAAGTCAGTTCAGGACACATGCAGAAAATACTCCTGAAAGGATCCATCCCCTATTCTAAAACCTTTAGAGGACCTGGCACAATTTGTGGAAAGTGAGGACAATATCACAATTACTATAGAGACTTCTCTCAACAAAAACTACTCAAAGAGAGAGAAAAGACTGCCTTTATGCAGACGTAATTTGAAACAGCCTGTAGGCATTTTATTTTGCTGAGAAAAGTGCAAATCCAGCATGAGCTTCACCAAACTCTGGAAAGAAAATATTAATCCTATCTAGAAAACATACTCTCGAAAAGTAAACCATGCAAAAAACTTACCTTAAATAGAAATATCAAAACAAAGGTATGGTTTGGTATTCATATATTGGCCTAGAGACTCCTCTAGATGGTCTGCATCAGTTTTATAAGGTAATAATAAGCCCTGCACATCATAGTTCCATAACTTTAGAAAATTTATAAACCACAAATATAATTGCATTTTTTATTAACCCCAAATCTCTCTGTATTTTCTTTTTTGTGTGCAAAGAAGCAGCAGAGAGCTATTTGCTACTCCATTCTTTCACTTCTCTTCAGTCATAATTTTTCATCTATTTTTTTTATTTTTTATGTGGCCCTTTTTTCCCCCCCCCAACAGCCCTGTAAAAATATCCAAATGATTTGTTAGCTCTTCTCAGAATACAGGCACTTATGAAACTCCATGCAACTTTGTTTACTGTGAAATGCAGCTCAAAACTTGAAAAACAAATCATGAAGGGTTGCTTTAAAAATTCAGTAGCAAGCTAACCTTTTCGGGGGGAGGGGGAAAGAGGGAATGGGTATAAATGTGTATCCAGCTCTATACATCTTTTTGTTGAATGCAAGCAATTTTATGATACACCCAATTTAAAAAAAAAAGTCTCTGCAAACAGACAAGGAAAAGTTGAAAGTGATTTTACATTTTGGTGACAAACATTTCCAACAGTTAGTTCTCTTAGGAGTCATTCCTAGTTTTTATTAATGAAGAATGATGTTGTCTGGGATGCAGCCATACTTTTGTGAAGGGATGTTAAAAACCACCATCACTGAGGCCTAGAAGTGAAAGAAGGCTTTAATTTCAAAATAGTCAGAGATCAGGCATTAGGATGATTCAGCTGCACACTATAAAGCAGGTTATAACTAAAATATTTATTGTCTCCATGAATATAATGAGAATTTCATGATCCCATGGTTTAAAACCACTTAGTAAATTAAAGGTAGTTCCTCAGGCTTTCAGTGTTGAAGAGCATTAGTCCTTATCTGATATCAGTGAAGTGCAATATGGATTGATATTGGACCATACTGTTTAGAGTGAAAATGGACTGTTTCCCATTACAATATCAGCCTTACCATGTGCTTGTCGCTTTGTCCCTCAGGGTAATTCATCAACCAGAGGTACAGTCACATATCCCTCTTTCTCCAATCTGCCTTAGAGAGACAGGTTTTTGAGACCCGAATACTCAATAAGCTTTAGGATCCATAAAATAGGCAAGTCATCTGGCTGGGGATGGATTGACTGTGGAGTCCACAGTGATCTTCTCATTCAACATGAAAAGCTGCCTTCAACATTAGCATTTCGAGATGGTTGTTTTCAGTTGTCATTGATATTATTTGTTCAAGAAAAAGATAGCCACAATAGCAGCCTGTGTTCTAGAGAGCCATTTTTGGTAACTCAAATTACTGTAATTTATTTTTTGTAACTCAAATTACAGTCAGTTATTTTACTCTAAAATACTTCCTTTTACCTATGTCAGTGCTTTATTGTGATGGTTTTGACTTCAGTGAAGAACTCGTAGGAATCCTTTGCTCCCTCCCTTCCAATGCCTGAGGCTTTCATCCCACCAAATGGCAAGTTCAGATCTCTCACAAGCCAGCAGTTGGTCCACACCAATCCAGCCTGTAGCCTGCGTGCCACCCGGTGAACCCGTCCTACATTGCTGGACCACACAGTGGCCGACAAGCCGTATTTCACACCATTGGCTCTTTTGATCACTTCTTCTTCTGTGTCAAATGCTACCACGCATGTCACAGGACCAAAGATCTCTTCTTGCATGCAACAAGATTCATCCTTAACTTCAGTAATAACTGTGGGCAACATGAAATAGCCTTTCTGGTTGCCAGGTGGGAGATCCAAAGCATCCACTCCCTCTCCACAAAGGACTCTGGCTCCTTCAGCCTGGGCTTTCTTCACATAGTTTCTTACCTGGGGAAGCAACAGGAAAACATCAGTGCTAAAGGACATCAAATCCTGAGGGTCCACACATCAGCAGGAGCCCCTGAATAACTCCAGCTAGAACATACTGCCCTCCTACAACAGAGGGCAGCTTTCCTTTGTTCTTATGTTTCTTTAAAGAAAAGCTCTGTATTTCTTGCTGAAAAAATAATTGTTTGCTCTTTCCTAACTTACTAGCCTAGCAGGCAACACTGCTGATCCTTCTGGATAAGTACTGTCAAAAGGGTAGGGCCCTTGGTGAAAACACGTGTGCTCCCAGAGCCTCCCTCCCTTCTTCTAGGGCAGTCTGCCACATATTCCATGCCATGGTTCACTCCTTTACTCCAAGGGATCAGTAATATTTTCCTGGCTCACAGGCAGGCTTATTAAATGTTTACATGCCATTAGGATGATGAAGCCATGAATGCCACAGAAAATCTCATCAATAAATTATTAAAGATGTTTCCATGGCTGCTGCCACCATATGCTTGCTACCTTGAACACATCAGACATGCTGTTGATCTGCTTCTGCCTTTCCGCAATTGTTGCCTGGTTTCTCTCCTTATAGAAAGCCCAGAGAGATACCACAGGGCTTCCTTTTCTTGTTCTTCTTTTAGGCACCTTGGTAGGTTAAACTTGGAAGTCCTTTATGGAGCCACAGACAGAGGACCTCGGGAAGCAGGTGTTTCTACCGCTCTACTTCAGAACAAGAGAACCTGCTGAGGCATCAGAAAGCATGACAAAGGTCTGGCTTTCTCTCAGTCTGTTGGTTTTTTTTTCTTGCTTATGCTGGTTGTGTTGGATAGTTTTGGGATATGAGCAGCTGCTCTCCCTGAACTCTCTCTGACACCACAATATTCATTTCATATAAGCCACTAAAGCCGACTATGTTTAACTGTGCATCATCTCAGCCACTGTCCACACATAGGCAATTCCAAATTACTGCAAGCAGTTCTAGGAAAATGTGTTTTGTACTCCCCAGAATTTGCCAGAGCAATACAAAAATAAGACTTTTAGCTTGTCAACTAACTCATTAGGCAAATGCACTATTAAAATCCATGAAAATGTTACTGAGCTCTATTTCATTCAAACAGGAAGAAATACTTTTTTTTGTAATTTTAAATTATTTTCTTCAGAGTAATCGTGTGATCCCAAGCCAGAAGCAACAGAAACCTCATAAAAAAGATGCCTTATAAGAGCTTTGAATCATCATCCCTCAGAGCTGATCTTGGAGAGGACATGATCCTTTCCATATACCTCTGAAATCACCTTACGCAGCCCTCTAGAAGATGAGATGAAATTACAAACTCTGTGTAATATCACCTTTTCTAGATGTTCTTTGCTTATCAGTGCTCCCACATCGACTGTAGGATCTGAGGGATTCCCGGTCTTCCACTTCTTGGCCTCTGCTACAAACCTCTTCAAAAACTCACTGTATATGCCCCTCTGAACAAAGATCCTGGAGGTGCAGAGACAGATCTCACCCTACCAAAAAGAAAGAAACAAATACAAAATCAACAATATTGGTTCATATTACACTGTACTACTGATGCATCCTAGGAGACATTTCACACAATGAGACTTGTGTCCCCACACCCTCAGAAGTGCAAACTCCATAAATCAAGCACTGTAAAGTGGGATTTTTTTCCAGATAAAAAAAGGAAAAGGGAAGGAAAAGAAGAAAAAATATCAGGATAATGTAGTCACTACCATAAGTAGATTTGATTTTTCATTGATTCCATGCCTTCTTTTTCAACATTTTTCATAGGAAATGTGATTTCCAATTCCGAATGATCTCTGTCTTCATTTCCTGATAATCCATTTCTGATACCAAGCTATTTTTCTGAGTCTTTGCCCTGATACGGTTTCCTGGCTTTGGTAATCTCTCCTGAGGGTGGTGATGAGGGAAGAACAATGTTGGTAAAATTTGGGGGAAGTCTCCTAATTTAATTCCAGCTTCTCACTTACTTGCACGATCGGACTTAACAGCAGCTCCTTCCTGGAGAGATAAGCAGTGTATCTCTTTTGAGAGGAGTAATGACACCTTGTTACCTTCTGATAGAGAGCACAAAGACGAGCCCTTTATTACTCTGATCCTTGCTTATGCAATAATGAAACCTTGTTCCTTTTTCTACTTTGGCTTTTCTCACAACACAATTTCAAAACAGACCTTGACAATTTACAGATCAAAAGGTATAGGCAGATGCACACAAACTCTTGGACACACTCCCCTCCTTGCTGCAAACAGGGTTTATATGCTATGGAGGTGAAAGGAACCTGGTTGGCAAAGCTGGACCTCAGGGTGGTGGGGATGCATTGGCTCAAGTCGGCATCATCGAAGATGATGGCGGGGTTTTTGCCTCCCAGTTCCAGCGAAAGCCGCTTGCAGTGTGGAGCACTTTTCTCCGTGATCCGCTGGGCTGTCAGTGTGCTTCCCGTGAAGGAGATCAGAGGCACATCGGGGTGGCAGACAAGGGCTTCTCCTGCCTTGGCGCCCGTTCCGAACACTATATTCACCACCCCATGAGGAACCCCTGGTAGGAAGAAAGGCACACAGTCATTGTACCTTTCCCATTGCTCAGCAGGTTTCACTTCACTGTGTTTTGTCCCAGAAGTTAGAAAATCACCCATAACTCCAGGGTGTCAAATACTGACCCCTTAACGTAGGTAGAAGCTGAAATGCATGGTATTAAATAGCTCTGGAGATCATGGGTTAAATGATAAAACCAGTTCCACTGATCAGTCAATCTCATCTGATATGCATCAGAGATCCAGTTTTCAGTCATTCAGGGAAGAAACAATCATCCTTCCAGTTTTAGTTCACAGGGCACCAAATACAGCCATGACACAGACACCAAGAGTTGATTCTCACTCTTGTATGTCTCATGGTTCGTCTGCTGGCACCACAGACTTAAGGACATCCTTAAGCAGAGTGCAGGAGGGGCAAAGGAGACCCACAAAAACTTTTCATCAGAAGATAGCGGACAAAAATGGGCAATAGTTGGAGTTGGAGGGATGGGATAGTGTGAGGATTGGGAGAGCTTTTTTTCTCCAGTGCAACATTCAGCTACAGCAGTCTTTCCCAAAGCCTTTGAGCACCTTCTGATTTCTACAACAACAACAAAAAAACCAAGAAAATGGTGCACAGACAAGCGTTTCCACCCCATTCACCCTCCTTAGCATGCTACAGGACTTACCTGCTTTCTCCAAGAGCTTGCACATCATCCAAGCTGTGACAGATGTCATCTCACTTGGCTTGGCAACCACAGTATTTCCACATGCAATGGCAGGAGCTATTTTCCAGGTCAACAAATATAGCGGCAAATTCCAAGGACTGATTAAACCAGCTACAAAGCAAATCAAAGACCGAAGTTCAACCTGCTGGGATACAAAACTCGTTTCTCTAACCTGAAGAAGTTATACACCAATTAAGATTTATGAAGGGAATTTGGCTGTGGCTGTTAATTCCAGACAATTGTATGATAAATTTGCAGCACTTCTTTCAGACAAATAACTTTCTAAAAGAACTGTGCAAATGATTCTAAAAGTGATCAGCTGAACTTTCTGAATCAAAGTTTTGCTGCTTCTTCAGGACAGAATCTGATATTCACAGAAAGTTTTTCAGTGTTTCCTAGGAACGTTAATGCAAGATTAGCCATAACAATCATTTACATCAACTGCTCTGTGGTAATACTTTCTATTAGCAAACAGCAGGTGAAGGTAATTATAGGGATTGTGAGGGTCCTTAAAGATCACCTAGTTCAAGTTCCCCTGCCGTGGACTGGGACACTTTTCACTAGACCAGGTTGCTCAAAGCCCCATCCAACCTGGCCTTGAACAACTCCAGGGATGGGGCATTGACCAGTTCTCTGGGAACCTGTTCCACTGACTCACCACCCTCACAGGAAAGAACTTTTTCCTAATATCTAATCTAAACCTACCCTCCATCAATTTGAAGCCATTACCCCTTGCTCTATCACTACATGTCCTTATAAAAAGTCTCTCTTCAGCCCTCTTTTAGGTCTCCCAAGAGCTTTCTCTTTTCCAGGCTGAATGTGTTAGCTCAGATCATTCTTGCTTTCTTTTACTCTTCAAAGCTTTTCTTATTTTTCAGTATTAATATTACAAAAGTGTGTATAACATATAGTACATATTTTACAGATAAATTTTAGTCTAACTCATCAGTGCCAAAATTTATCACTGTACAAAACTTTTGTTCCCACAAATTGCTCAATTACTAGAATTATTTTCAGTAATTGCCTGTAGGAATATTTTCGCTTTACATATTTATAAGAAATTACGAAAAAAAATCTGTGATTGTTAGGTGTGACTCCTCACAAAAGCCACAGGATTTCTTGCTGTTTGATGGAGTAGATACAATGAGGGACTTTTCCTTATGAGAGTGATTTTACCAGAAGTAGTCATGTTCTCCACTGCTCAAGAAAACTTTCAAATGGGTCCACTAGCTTAGCCAAATTTATGTTTTAAATAATTCAAGTGTAAATGTGGTGCACTCATATATATTTAATGCTATATGTTTATTTATACTATATATATATAATATAACCTAATAATGAAATCAATATAACACCATTACTTTGTCAGCTCGGCATAGCTGCTTCATTTCTGAAGCAGCAGCAGCATCTAGTGGCTGAGTTCAGCAGTTCCCCAGCTAGAACTGGTTTATCCACCCATGTGCACTCAGGTCACAGACTCATTGTAAACAACTACTGCTTTCCCAAAGGTGAGGAGTATCCTGCTCTCTCTGCAGGATTAGCTGTTAAATGCTCTGCAGGCCTCACTGACCAACAGCCATAATGCTTACTTACAAAGACTCACATGAACAAAACACAGGAGAGATTTTGAGGGTGAGAGCTGGCAGGTTTGGCTTTTTATGGTGTGCAATAATTTTTTTTTGCCATGAAGTAGCATAAGTGATTTTATGTGAAGTTGCTGATGCTTTAGCGGACAAGCCATGTTTCGCACATGACTCAGAGACAATAAATGCTGTTGAAAAAATGCTCTCTCTTTGCTGAGACGCATTTGAGGTAGACATTTTGCCAAGCTATTCAGCATGTCAAGATCATCATACCAACTCCAACAGGTGCCCTTGAGGTGTAATGCACACAGCCCATGGTTGCCATCTCAGTGCACTCTGTGACGTGGTGAAGGATGGAAGAGGCAAAGAATCGGAAGTTGTATGCAGCTCGAGGGATGTCCACTGTTCTGGCAAATGTAATAGTTTTTCCTGAAACAAAACCAAGCAAGCACAGTGCTGTTATCATGGATAGAAACAGTGCTTTATACTCTGCTCTGAAAGTTGATTCGCGTGTTTTTTGGGAAATGTCTTTCGTCCTGCGCCCAAGTAACCCCCAGCACAGTGCAACCCTTAGTCAATGACAACAGCCCCCCACCAGTAATGCATTCCAAATACCTAATAACTGAAATCAATATCAGCAATTTTGAAAAGCAAGAATGCCCCAGGAATCCAAAATCCAAAATTTCTTCAAAGTTCATGCACATCAACTCCAGTTTGCTCCAACAGTTTATACCATATTAAAAATTTCCTCCAAATCCTCCATTTCAATAATCAACAAGACACACTTGAGATGAACAGTTCCAACTTTTACCCTGATCCTTTGACTCTGCTTGAGCAAATGCTTCCAGGTCATGTTCAATCAGGTCTGCCAATTTGTTCAGGATCTGAGATCTTTCCAATGGACTTTTTGAGGACCAAATTGGGAAGGCATCTTTGGCAGCTTTGACAGCAGCTTCCACCTTAAAAAGTAAAAGAGGGTTGGTGAATGTTTATGAAAGGCATAAGAAAGTATCAAACACTCAGCAGATGAATCTATATTTCAGAGGTTAGTAATCCAGATCACACTGCTGGGAAGATGACATCTCCTTAGAGCTTCTCCTTTGTCATCAAGACACTATCCTATAACTCAAGAAGTGTTATTGGAATAGAGTATCTAGAAAAGAAAACTCCACGGGAACTCTTGCTTTTCTCCAAATTCCAGCAACTTGCAGGCAACCCTTCAGGCCTGGAGGAAATGCTGGACTGGTCAACTGGTACCAGCAAGTGCAACTGACCAAACCGAAGCAGAATCTTGTCTCTCATGAAGAATATAGGAAGAATTTCCCCTGGAGCAAATGCTGTTTCAGTCTAAACATCCACAGCCCTTGCAATACAGGACTTCAACTGTACCAGACAATGATGAAAGTAAGGGGCTGCGGAAAGAACAGACTATATGCCCTGCTAGCCCTTGATTTCCTCCTCTTTGCACCGTTTGGTTTAAGCAAGGACAAAGAATATATTTAGGGAATGGACACTCAGAAAAATTTTATTTTACCAGATCACAGCTAGAAATTCATTAATTCCCTCACAAGAAAAAAAAGTCCTTTCTAAACTCTTGGAGTTTAATCAGTTCTCTCATCAGACACCTATTGAAACCTACAGGTAAGGATCATTATATGCATTTATATAAATGCATACCGGTCTTATCAGTATTTCACTTGAGATGTACATGAGTGCTGCATGGTCCTTCAGCCTGACCTTTCTTCTGAACAGTGGCAGATAACCAGCACTTTTCTGAAGCAGACTAGGCTTCAAAGGATTGAAATTTCTTTCAGAAAGAAAAAGCAAAAGCTTTCTCTCCCATCAATCATTTCCTCCAGACTCTTGAGTGGAAGTTACCTGCATCTATTGATTTATAAGCAGTTCCTTCTTGATGTTTACCAGTCTCAGACTAAGATGGTCATCAATATCCTTCCACGTTTTAATTAAGTGTCCTATTTTCCAATTTTTCTTCCTATGTATCACTTCTTCATTGTTCCCAATGTCTTATCAAGATGGGTTTTTAGTCAAAGCTTTCTTAGCCGGTTTCCCAAAATTTTTGCCATGAAATTCCTTTAGATTTTGGAAATCTGCCAAAATCAGTAACTAGGAAGATGTTGATGTAATATTAATCAGACCATTATGACCTCTCCAAATGTTGCCACATTGCTGATTCCCATGCAGTCACTAAAGGCTCCTTTCCACCAGTTCTGCAAAACTGAGTTCCAAATTTGTTCCTTCTGATGCCTCAGAGCTTTTTTTGATTTTTTTAGATTTTGTAGATTTTAAAACTAATTGTGTAGTAAATGTAGATTTTAATGTAGCTGTATTATATCCCTTACCCTTTATCAATGTCTCTAAATTCCATTAGAGTATTTAGTCTTTTTCCAAGGTAGAATTATAGAAAAACACCCCTGTTTAAGAACATCTCACTCTAGGCCTGGACCAGGAAATATCACACAGACGAAGCAATCTTCAAGCCCAGAGCTTTGGAGGAACTCCAAGGACTGTAAGTGCTTTGGTAGAAGATGAAGATGAGAAAGAAGGTATCCCAAACGCCCCCAGACCCAATTCCCAAAGGAGTGTCTTGGGGCAGAACGGGGCAGAACCAGGGGTGGACAGACCTGGGATTGGATGGACCTTATTATAAAATCATAGAACCACTGTCTGGGTGCGTGCACGCAGTGTGTATTCCTCTAGGCCTACTGCTCTCTTTATCTTATCTTACACATTAAATTGGCCTGGAGTCTTTTTCTCCATGGTCTTTTTAGGCAACGCTTCAGATTGTGATGGGTGTTATAAAAACCATCACAAAATATTTTACAGACACTCCAATGATGTTTTACTAATGAGGGCACAAAATTTCAAGCAGGGAAAAAATCTACCTACCCCTTCTTCTTCCCCCTCCCACGCACATGAGAATTTACGGTCCTCATAAAAGTAAGACCCAGAGTTTGAGAGCCAGAGCAACACCAGTACAGAGGCCAAGGAAGGAAATAAACCAACATGCACAAGGTCACATGGATCATTGCCAAGCCCAGAAACCTAGACTCTAGTCTTTCAACTTTAGTTCAACAGCCTACTGCTCAAGTGCTGATGATAGCAGGCTGTCAGTCACTGAACAGCTGAAGCAGGACCAAAGCAGGCCTGGGAAAGGGGAACTGCAGCTTCCTGAGCGAGTCCGGTGCAGATGCCATGCTACCCTGAAAAGGTTCACCCTCTGTGAAACCACACCACCTTCACTAATTAACTTATTCTTCCACCCTCCCATCTTGTGATGCTGTTGCTCATCTGTCCTTTCCTCTGTGGCCTTTTCCACCAGGTGCTGCCAGGACAGGAGATAATAACTAAGACTATCTGCATTTTTAACCCTTCAGTGGGTTTAGAAGAAGGACAAAAATGCTGCTTTTTCAAAGGCAGTAGAAGGGAAAACTAGTAAAGGAAGGAATTAAGTGCCAGTAGATTCATCTAAAAAAGGCAAGAGGAAAAAAGGGGAGAGATTGGTACAGATGTAAGAAAGCATACAAAAGTTAAAGTTACTTAGTTTGACTAGCAAAAAGCAGCAAAGACAGTCAAGCCACAAAGAAAACACATGTAAGAATTCAACTATGAACTTGTGTGTCTGAAACACTTCCTTCTGCTTTCCTCTTCTGCACAAGACAGACACAGAAACAACACACAATCCAGACCGATGGTAAAAGGTTGATATCAAAATACCCCAAACTATATTGCTCTCAAGACATGATTTTGCTTTCGCAGGGGATGATGGAGAGGAGAAAGGTTCTTTAAAGAGAGGCTTTTTGAAAGTCGATATTTGCCAGTACTAATTAGTCCTCACCAGCCTGTCTTTTGGAGATACAGGGCACCTGCTTAGCCTGCTGTTGCACTGCTATTCAGAATTTAAGACATCTAGGCAGGGGAACAAACTAACCCCTGAAAAATTGCATTCAGTGTTTTTGGCAGAAAGGGGTTGAAATGGCTACTGCAGCTGAAGTGGTGTTAAACTCCAGAGTTAGCAACAGATTTGCTTTCACCTTCTAATCTTCCACTAATATTAACCAAGAAAATATCTAGCTGGGCATTACACCTTGCTGGAAACCAGCATCCTGAGTTCTTTGTTGAACTCAGGCCTATATGCTTATTTTGGTATCTCTAGATAACATCAAGTGATATGTGATTGCATTTTCTTCAGCATATTCCATCAGTCATCAGTGGACACCAGCTCTGCAGAGCCTAACCTTCTTGTGAGCAGTCTAAAGGTAGGACTAAAGCACTCACCAAATTTACAGGTCTTTAAATTGGGTTCCCATTGCTGCATACAACCACTAACTCAGAAACTGAAAGAGAAAAGCCATTGCTCTTGGCAATTTCAACTGTATCTCCAGAGTGGCCCGAGGCCTACTTTGTTAGGCTGTTCTGGTATTCTCAAATATCTTTTAATGATTTTGCAAATGAATGGACAGGAAGATTTGGACCTGCACATAAAAGAGAAGTCTGTTCAGATATAATTAGGGTTATAATGAACTTATACGTATTTATTCTGTTACTCTTTAACCCTTGGTCATCAGCATCTAACAAATATTTACCCAGTTGAAATCACAGTGCAAAGGTTTCTGCTGAGAGAAGCAAAGAGAAAAGATGTTACTAAGGCTGAAGTGCAAGTGAAGGGCTACAGACAGTACTAGTTTGTTTTAAATATAATTTTGAAAATACTGTCCGCTACTACTTGTCAATATTTTCCAAGTCCTTTGTGCTATCCAAGCTTATCCACCAGCAGCTTCTCTCTTCAACTAAATCTGAAGCACTATTTTGGACACAGACTTGTAGGTCCCTTATAAAGTAGCATCAATGAAACTGCAGCTCCTCTGATGAATGTCATTGCCCATCCACACCTGCACACATACAAGGTACCGTGAAAACATTGATCCCGCTAGAGAGTATGGGATCAGGAAACCTTTTCACGCAGAAAACAGGGTATGTTATAAAGAAACGCACTCACTACAGCCACTCCATCACCTCCACTGAATATCCAACTGCTAAACCAAAACCAAAGAGATCCAGAAGGAAGCTTTTTACCATCTTCAGAGAAGAGACAACAAGTCAAAAATCCTTTTAAATGAAAACTGAAAATAATCAAGACACTAAGGGAGAACACATTTAGTTACATATGGTGCCTCTAAGTTTATTTACAGAAGAGATGAATAAGCACTTTTCTCCCTTACAGACTGTTTATACTTCCAGCCAATCTGAGCATTATTGTTAACTTATGCACACGACATTTCCCATGTGAGCTAACGGAGCTCCATGCAAGCTACTGAAGTTTTGTTAATTCATATCACCTTAGGATTCAGACTGCAACTTTCTAGTAGCAAAATGTGAAAAATAACAGCATTTGCTGACACAGGAGGGGATTACACAGCACTGCAACATTATCAGCATTACACAGCGCTACAACATTAACTACAACTCGCTCATTTAAGTGTTGAAGTCTTACTTTACTTATTTTACTGTTCTCTTACTGTCAGCCTCTCTTACTCAAAAGATTATTGTTATGTGCATTTAACATTTTTCACTTCTTTGTACATCTGGATAGTACTCACCTCTTCTTTGCCACTGTCTGGCACCTTGCAATAGACCTCTCCGGTGGACGGATTATAGGAGTCTATGTAGGAGGAACAAGGAATAAATTTCCCACCTATAAAGTTTTCCAGCACTAAGAGAGCCTTTGACTGAGCCATCATTAGCTGCTTGCTTCATCTGTGACTTTTCTTCTGAGGCATCAGTTTAGATTAATATGTCTGTATGTATTTGCAGAGCGAGTCTGAACTCCTCCCCCTCTCTCTCCCTGCCACCGCTTGCTTGCTTGCATGTGGGAACAAATCCTGGTTACAACAGCAGGAAAGGGGGAACGGGGAAAAATTACTATTTCTGTGAAGAAGCAAGGAGGTAAAACCAGCATAGCTGCTGGAAAACAGCTCTTCTTTCTCTCTAGGAAATAAAGTACCAAACGAAAAAAAGGAAGATTCAGATTATCAAATTGCTCTAAGACTCCAGAGATATTCAAAGCACTACATCCAGAGTAGTATGTTGTCACTGGGAGATTGTGAATGTTTCAATTAGCAGTCTAGAAAGGTTTTGCACCCTAAGCCGCTGCCAAGCCATCAAATTTCTTGTGGATCAACATGCAAGAATATTTTGATTGAATAAAGGTGATATGTTTCTATTGCACAATAACAGATCATTTAAGCTTCAACCAATTGGCACCTCCGGGCAGAGTTCAAATCTGTGCTGAAAGATAGTGCAGTCACATTGAAACTGGATTAGGTAATACCTCTGCTTCTCCCAAGCTACAAACTGGGAAAGCATGCAGTAGCTTTTCTGCCATCACAGAATAGTGAGCCTCAAAATTTATTGCAATAATGTGTGAGAAGAGTTATCAGAGGTTCACCCCGTATCACACTTCCTTGTCCATGAACAGTAAGGAATTTATGCAAGTTTTAAAACTGAAGACACATTCTTGTGCCTGTAACTGCCTGCTGGCTTAAAAGCAACCTAAATATTTTCAAGGTCTGAAGGCAAGTTCAAGTAGGACAGGTTCAATGCAGGAGCTAGGCAGTATGAATCTCTGGAATACAGAAGGGTACCGAAACATTCACAGCTGATGGTGAAACTGGTAAGAACTTAAGTGCAATTTCTGGACTACAAAATGACATAACAAACAGTGATAATTCATAAGCTTCAGTTTTGGCAATAACAGTTTTCAGGTAATTCAGACTCATAGGATTTTGCATGCACATAAAGCATTGCTGATACTTCTAAAAACATTTGTGCAGTCAAGAGTACAATTTATCTGTGTGGTCAACTGCTGAACTGGGGCTAAAGCACATAAGCACAAAAAAGTTACCTATCAAAAAAAGCATGTGCAAAGTGTCGGTATGGACCATACATGACTTTGAACCAAGTAACAATCACAGGCAAAGTTGAGTTGTCTCCACTCTGCACTCATACAAGTCTTGAAATACCTGAGGTCTTTTCACACATCCTATTGAAAAAAAGACAAGTTGTAGTCAAGTGTGTCTGTCCTGAGCCTACGCTGGAGGTAGCAAAAGGACCTTCTTTTTAGTTGGGAGGTTTCATCTGCCCATTATTGAAAAGCGGGAAGGAATTACAGGCATAAGTAAGCACAATAACTGGCTTTAGCAGATATCATAAGAATAAACTGTCAGTCTTTGTTCAAAAGAGCACTAAGTCTGAATGAAAGAGAAGTGTATGCACAGTAGCTGCACTGAGTAACATGAGAAAAACTGAAATTATTTATTCAGAAAGACAAGCTGGATGCCAGTTTTGCATTTTTGCTTGCAAGTTTACTCTGAAACCTCTCGGTTATGGAAAGTAAAAAATTATTCAACCCAACTTAGAACTGTTTAAATAGTAAAAGATGAAGGAGACAAAAATGCTTGGACAAATTTATTTTATTATTCTTATTCTTAAGAATATTCCTATTCTTAAAAAATAAAATTAGCCAGAGTTGGCACAGCTTCCACTACACAGCAAAAGAAATTTTTTTTTAAATAAATTTTGGGACAGGGAAAATAATCCCAGGATAATACTACATGCCATTCTCTTGAAAACAAACTAAATAGTTCTTTTTTCCCTGAATATGAAGTCAACTCAAACCTAAAAATATATTAGACCAATAAAGTTACTTTACTGAATTAATGTGCAGCAAAAAAGCAATCAAAGAAAATATGTAAACAATTTATGTCTGGAAGTAAGGAGCTTTTTTCATGATAATTCATCATCTTTTTCTCCAATTCAACTTTCTAAGATTTTTCCATCAACTTCTCTAAGGCCTAAATTCCACACGGAGAAACACATGGGAGTCTTGAGATCGAGAAGTGCAACACTTGCAGTTGGTATCTTGTTCTGCAGAGGGAGAGACGGATGAAGGGATCCCCAGATGTCTCACATAATTCAGCTTTTGCCATCGTCATCTTCTCTCCAATTAATTGCACTTGTTCCTTCAACTGAAATAACTGGATTCTTAGACAGAAGTTTGGATATCTGATTGTGTTTTGGTTGGACGGTGGAAATTCTGTCACCATGGTCATTCCTTAATCTAAAAATATAAGCAAATGGAAAAAACCCTATGGTGAAAAATGAAGTACTGAATGTAAAACAATCACAGTATTTTTTAACGTGATGCAGTTAGCTGTGGAAAAATAATTCCTTTTGCTCTGAAGTTCTCTGGAACAAGATCACAGGTACTAAAACAGCAATTCCCAAATAACAATCAGAGATGTTATTTAGTCCCAATTCTAGAAACACTGGTCATCATAGATCTAAATAGAACCCCACTCACTTCAAGTTAAATTTATGAAAAATGGGTGCAAGATGAAAGACCTAATTCTGGATCCTATTTAAGACCAGAGAGATTGGTAAGAGCATTAAAGCTCCAAAGGCCTCTGACAGACCTAGCACATCATTCCTACACATACAAGGAGAAACCACAAGTTTTCATCCAAGTTTTGATATTAAATGACTCTTTAAGTCTTGGTACCAGAACTAGGTTAATGTGACTAAATTGCACTCCTTCAGGCCTAAAATTAAAACTCAAACTCTAATCCGAAAATAACAGCAACATCTTTTCAAAGGGACAGATAGAGGGACATTCATATTTCTGGCTTCTAGAAGGCAAAACATTTATGTTTAGCCCCACAGTTTTTGATTCCTCTTACAAAGAATCAGAAAATATTTATAGGCATCAGTAAGAATGAAATGTACAGTTGTCTTTAATGTTAACAGAAAAAGGTCTGGGACCCTAACTAGACACAGTAGTAATGGCCCATACTTTTTATTTGCAAGTTATTTCCAATATATTTATACAAGCAGATTTCAAAAACACTGATGTATGTTAAAATAGTGAAGTGCTATTTTTTAACTCAAGAGAGGTGGAAAAAAATTCTAAATAGAGTAATTTTTACTCTTAATAAATTGAACAGAACCGTGGCAAGTTTTCCTCATATCTTGCTGAAGCACTGCTTCTTTTTTAGTGGAAAAATTTCACTTTTCAGGCTAGAGGATGTAAAACAGATCTTAACCATAATATTATTCCTCTGCAGAATAGAAAGTCTGTTACAAAAATGCCATACCTCTGTAACAACTCCTGCAGCAATAGTGGAACCACTGTAGCGTAACATAAATCTCCCCAGCTCTTTGAAATCTTTGTACAACTCTAGAGCAACAGGTCTTTGAGTCTGTAGTTCTATTAGAGCATTCTGTCCTTTAGTCAAGAACCTGCAGGCAAATAAGCAAAAAATTCTATTAGAAATATATATGCATGCATAAATGAAGAAAAGAACACTGAATAAATGGGGGATAATCAAGTTAAAAGGCCAAAAGTATAACTATCAAGCTTGATTTCAAGTGTAACCCAAGCCATGAGACTGAACACTCATTTGCCTGGAGTACACATTTAAAAAAGGCATCTGAGGTTTCTTCAAAAACTTCTAGAGAAGGGTACTCATCACAACATTTAGCAAATTGTTTTGAAGTTTATTATCTCATTAACACCTGTTTTTTCATGCCAAGTAGAAATGAAGCCTTGTTTCAAGCCCCACAACTAAAGAGTCAATTCATTGCTGTGTAGAAATCTGTAATAGTTTTCAGACATGCAGTTTCTGGAAAAGGATTATTTTGATAACACTGTATGTATCAAACTGCATTTCTAGCCAAATACAGCTTTAAATAACTAGAGGGAGGTTACTGTAGTTGTATGGGAAGACTCCCTATTACCTGGACCACTGCCTAGTCAAGTGTAGTTTAGACAGTAAACCAGCTCCATAATGAGACCCCATGCTCTAACAGGAAAAAAAGAAATATTATGATAAAAAAATAAAAGGACAAAAACCCTTTAATTGTAGGGTTGTCGATCTAGGATTCACTCCCAATTCTGCAAGCGACCTTAAGCAAGTCATTTGACTTCTCAGGTGCTCCGCATTTATCAAGTGGGCAGGAGGTTTTTCACTTTGTAAAACACGCTGAAATCCAAACATGAAACCAACTAAAACAATGAAAGCATATTCTTATAAACATATTATCGATTCATTGTAGAAACCGCTTGATATTAAAAGTCAACCCATTTCTTGAGTAATCATTAACTATTCAAACCACTTACTTAGGTTTTTTCTTTGTCACTTCACCAGTGCTTTTGTGCAGGACACTCAACAGTCTTGTAATAGTAGCAGGTTCGCTTACTGTTTGATAGTGTAAAAGCACCTAGAAATATTTTTTTCAGTTATTAAACATTCTGTGATAATTAGCAATCCTAGGTGTTAATACCTGAAAACATCAGCTTGTTTTAAGACTTTTTTTTTTAATGCTTATAGAACTTCCTTGTAGGAGTGTCTGCATCACATTCAGTTAACTGTTTCTAGCTCCTAAACTTAGTGATCTCTACAGATGTAACATAAAGGCCATGTTTTATGTCATCACAAATACATTTTTCATTCTTAAGTGTTTTGCTTATGCCACCTCAGTGCAGCATGAACCAATATTTTATTTATTGTAAAAGGGATCTTACACCTAAGTGCATCATTATACTTCTACAAGGTGTGAGCCTCTAAAGGACACCCTAGCTGTGGTAAAACTCACGTCCTCTGAAATGGCTCAGCTATGTATTAAAAGCCAATAACAATATGCATAAGCAGACAGAGCAGCCCCTTACATCTGCTTCAAATTATAGAAGAACCTGTTTCCTCTAGAGAGACAGAACCACTTCTGGATTTTAAATGTATCTTGTATTCAAGGGGTCAAACATGGAGAGGAACATGTAATAAACACAGGAGCTTTCACAGAGACTTACAGGAAATCCTTTAGTGATTGGAATCTCAATATTGAAGATGAGAATCCGAGCTCTGAACCGAGTGCAAACTTTAATGGGTTCTTTGGGATCACAAAATACACAGCCCACACTACAAGAGAGAACAAAAAAAACCCATATACATGTCTTGACATACAAATGTTAATCACTGCACTGGAATAAGATAATTATTTAAAACAAGCAAAGGAAAGACAACACCACTTTAATATAAACAGGGCAGTGGGGGGGTGGATGCATGGATATATCCAGGAAAACTGTATAGAAGCTTGTAACAAAATTAATTCCTAGACAATGTCTACCTTATTTTGTGTGTATGCATGAAGAGGTCTATCTAGTTCAGTGAACAATTACGTCCATTTCTGATCAGTTTCTAAAAATGTCACTGTTTCCTGTGCGTAGGTATTTTTAAGAATTAGACTTTCATTCAGAGATTCAGTGTTTCAGATCAATAGCACAAAATAGTGCAGGGTGCCCAAAATTTCAGCGCTGCTGCCTGTAACTCAACTGTCTTCTGGATAAAGGAACATCGTGATCAGGGCTCAAAACTTGAGCTTTGAGCAGCATTCATTTCCAAAAAATTCTATGTAGAGTCACAAAATAGCTGCTGCTCGCTGTAAGTTGAGAAGTAGACTAGACATAGCTTATTCAGAGGAGGTAGTTTTAGCCATCTAAAATGAAAACAAAATTAATCCCACATCAGAAAACACGACTGAAGAGAACAAATGCCATGACTAAACATATACGATAGATGTCGTCAAATTTCATCGATGTCAAGAGAACTTAAAAATTCGTAAGTTTTCTTGACAAATCTAAGGTATCTCCAAAAGATGAATGACACTAAGGTAACGAATTGACTCAAGCCTTCATTCAACAAGTAGATCAAGACTTTTTCCCCTCCCATTTACCACAGAAAATCACACCCCATTCGGAAACGGCAATACAGAAAAACCCGTACTTCTCCCTTAAAAGCAGAACATAAACTTGAAAAACTACCAATGCAAGGCAGTTTTCAAAGAGTAGTTTGAAAGTTTGCTGCCTGAAGCCCAACTGGAATGTAAAAAAGCTGAAGAAATTATGGGTCTGATTTTCTGGCCTGAACAACAACTGACACTTACCTAAAACCTTGAGGCTAACGCTTAACATGAGACCTGTGGACTGGAATACACACAAAGAGATTTGCTGTGTCTCACTATCTGACCACCCCACCCAAAAAACAGGGTCAGCAAAACATTTAGAGAAACAAATCTTACAAGCAGCTGTGTTGAATAAACATTTTCCATCAATTCCAATTGCCCAGCTTTACTTACTGCTACAAAATGGCAGTTGTTCGGATGTGTTTTGTTAGAAAGATTTATTATTTGGTAAGCTCTTAAAAAATCTTTTGTTACACTTAGCAACAAGCCTTTACTTAATTTAGCAATTAAAAAGTCCAAGGACTAGTCTAAAGGAAGAAA